TAAAAAGCCAATTAACCGATAAATCAGTGTTTACAAAAAATTATCGTTTATTTTATATAATCGATTATTTTTAAATAATCCATCTTTTTCGTCCATTGAAACAGATTATTCGATATTCTTTGAAAAATCGAAAATAATCGATTAATTAAAAAGTCGATTAACTGATAAATCGATTTTCAAAAAAACCGAATTGTCGATTATTTTAAATAATCGATTATTTTCGATCAATCGATTATTATCAATAATTTATTTTTATTGTATTTCATTTAAAATCGATAATTCGATTATCATTGAAATACCGAAAATAATCGATTAATTAAAAAGCCGATTCTACGATAAATCTATTTTCCAAAAAAATAACCGAATTATCGATTATTTTCTAATAATCCTTTTCATATTTCCTTTGAAATTGATTATTCTATTATCTTTGAAAAATCTAAAATAATCGATAAAAATCAATAAATCGAAAATAATTAATAATTATTAGAAAACTGATTAACCGATAAATCGATATTTCTAAAAAATAACCGAAATATTGGTTATACAGGGTGGACCGGATTTAATTTACGTATACAGAGATCTCGTAAATCGTAAGATATACATTGTCGATTAAATGGGGAAAAAGTTTCGTATTTTGACGGATAATACAATGGTCCATAGAAGTTCCAGATTTTCTGACTGGTTCCGGAGATATTCGATAAAATCCGAAAAACCTCATTTTCGTTTTTTAAGTCGTGCGTTGTTATTATAAAAGATAAAAAAAATTATACAAAGTTTTTGTTATAAATCAAGTTCCCTGTAATCTGCCATATCAAAATTTTTATTACGACGTTTCGTATTTGCAGGGCCACCTTCAACTTATTTTTTTAAATATGGACCTGGATTTTTAAATGTAATTTTTTATAGCTTTCGTATAGCTAAATACAACGATATGTTTTACTTTACCATTTTACTAAGTTTCGTCTATGAAAATATCATCAGCTATGTGGCTTCTGATGATACCGTTTCTTACTTGATTAAAACAAGATAGCTAATTAAATAATAATTAAAAAACAAAAAATGCTTAAAATGTGAAATTTTAAATATTATTTGAAACATAATACAAGAATTATTTAATAACAAAATGGGTTACAATTTTTTATCAAACAACCAGCAAACAAGACTAATGAAGAACGAATTATGGTTGTACACATTCTACAAATAATAAAGCTAATAACAAAAACAAAATTCAAAAACAAAAACAGTCACAATAGTTGCTTAAAATGTAGTCCATTCTGTTGGATACAGAGTGCAATTCTCCTAGACATTTGGGATGTAGTTTTATCAACCATTTCTGGTGTAATTTTTTCAAATGCATCTACTATTCGTTGACGAAGTTCTTGTAGATTATTTGGTATATTTTTGTCGTAGATTTGGTTCTTTACGAAGCCCCATACAAAATAATCCACGGGATTAAGACACGGAGATCGAGGAGGCCATCTTATTGGTCCATTGGTACCAATCCAATTACCTCTAAAATATTGATCGAAATACTCTGCAACCCTCCTAGCATTGTGTGCACCACAACCGTCTTGCATAAAGTATTGAAGATTTTGTCTTGTTTGTAAGGGCATCTCATCGAGTACTTCCTCCAATAAATGTGGCATCGGAACTGATTTAAATTACCATCCAAAAAAATCGGCCCAATATTCTGATTATTGATTAGTCCACACCACACATTTTGGGTAAAACGGAACTGTGGTCTAACTTCTCTGATTAAATAGGAGAATTGCACTCTGTATCCAACAGAATGGACTACATTTTAAGCAACTATTGTGACTGTTTTTGTTTTTGAATTTTGTTTTTGTTATTAGCTTTATTATTTGTAGAATGTGTACAACCATAATTCGTTCTTCATTAGTCTTGTTTGCTGATTGTACTTAATCATGTTTGATAAAAAATTGTAACCCATTTTGTAATTAAATAATTCTTGTATTATGTTTCAAATACTATTTAAAATTTCACATTTTAAGAATTTTTGTTTTTTAATTATAATTTAATTAGCTATCTTGTTTTAATCAAGTAAGAAACGGTATCATCAGAAGCCACATAGCTCATGATATTTTCATAGACGAAACGTAGTAAAATGGTAAAGTGTAACATATCGTTGTATTTAGCTATACAAAAGCTATAAAAAATTACAGTTAAAAATTCAGGTCCGTATTTAAAAAAATAAGTTGAAGGTGGCCCTGCAAATACGAAACGTCGTAATAAAAATTTTGATATGCTAGTTTATAGGGAACTTAATTTATAACAAAAATTTTGTATAATTTTTTTTGTATCTTTTATAATAACAACGCACGACTTAAAAAACGAAAATGAGGTTTTTCGGATTTTATCGAATATCTCCGGAACCAGTCAGAAAATCTGGAACTTCTATAAACCATTGTATTATCCGTCAAAATACGAAACTTTTTCCCCATTTAACCGACAATGTATATCTTACGGTTTACGAGATCTCTGTATACGCAAATTAAATCCGGTCCACCCTGTATAAAATAACGAATTATATTTGATTAATCAATTATTTTCATATAATACCTTTGAAAATTTGATAATAATCGAAAATCAACGATTAATCGAAAATAATCCATTAATCGAAAATAATCGATTCATTAAAACACCGATTAAACGATAAATCGATTTTTCCAAAAAATCGATTATTTTCAATCAATCGATTATTTTGAATAAATCTACTTTCTTTTTGTATTTCCTTTAAAATCGATTATTACATTATCTTGAAATTTTAAGTTATTCATCCTGTATTTTATCTAATATTCTTATAAAAATACTACTAATCAACTATGCTTCTTTACTTCTTATTTATCTACCAAAAAGAGCTAAAACCCACCTTTAGTAAATATTCTTATAAAACTACTTTTTAAAAACAAAATTTCGTTAGCAACAATGTCTATTTACTTCTTATTTTAATTAAATATTTAAAATTTTATCCTTTTGTAAATTTATGTAAGTAATACGAAATCTGTTTTCTGAAATATGTATTTGATGAATATTTATTGAAACCCCTTAATGCGGATCTGATGTATTCAGCTCAAAGGATTATGGCGCTTTATGTCAAAACGTTAATAAATATTTACCGCTGAAAACGAATATATTTTTTATATTTCATAACATTGGTACTTGTATTATAAGTATTCGCTCCTTGCGAAGTCATGGAAAGGGAAGCAAAAGCGATACTAGCGCTAGCTGCGGATAATTCGTGCATTTTAGGGCGATATTTTGTAATTTTGACATATCAAATACACGTATACACGTATACATTTTACTTTTTTTTTTAAAAGTAGGTTCAAACAATACAATAAGCAACCGGAGTTGCTGTGTTGAAAATTGTACAAATACTAGCAAAAAAAAAACAGTGAAACTTATATAAAAAATTTCAGTAGCAAAGTGGAAATTAAATCAAAGAAATAAATGGATAGATATACAATAAGAAGAAAAATTACCTTTATTTTTGTAATAATAACAGTAATACTGTAAATAGTAGACATCAGAAACTTGAAAGGTTTTAAATAAACAATAAAGTATCATTTTACGATGTTCTTTAATGTCCCTTTATTCTTAAATGTTCATTCAGCAAGGACTAGATTTCAAGATTTCTGCTTTTGATTATTATATGTCGATGGAATGTAATTTTGAGACTTACTGATGAGAAACTAGTTTTAATCATTCATTCTATGTTTTCTTTCAAACAAAAATGAAAATATAAATAGCGATCCTTTTTTTATACATTTTAACTTCATGCTATTAGGCATTCCAACGACCTGTCCAAATGGCTACCAGTGGGTAATGACAGTTTAGATATGGCAACCCTGTTGTCATGTTGTCATTAACAGGGTCAATGATACATATATAGTTATATAGATTGCTCAAAGCTGGTCGTTTACGAGCGGCCATATTGCCTGGCAAATATTTATCAATTTGAATCGGTTTAGCAAAAATGTGTTTTAAAACCAATTTTTAGCCTTTAGATATTTAAAAAAAAATAATTGCTTACATTTTTACTCCAAGGCATACGCTTATGTTTATTTTAAAAAATATGGATAATCAATCTATGTAACTATCTATTTCATTGACCTTGTCAAATCACCAGGTCTACAGGGTTGCCATAATTTTGCAATATCATAACCCGTCAAAGCCCACTGGTAGGCATTCAGTTTGGAATGCCCAATTATTAAATGGTATTTTTTTATTTTGACATAACAGATTAATTCTTCATTGACAACTTATTAGACTTCGGCAACTACTCATACATTTTCCAGTAAATACTGTTGCCTGTCTATATTTTATTATTGATTTTCATTGATTATACATAATTTTCTTTAATTTAAGCGTTAAAAATATATAATAATAATAAATTAATGTTTTACTTGTTTTACAAATCCATATACTTTTATTAAAACTAACATATATACTTTTTAGTTGCAAATTCTATTAAAAATTGTATTTGTCAGTATACACAGAAATAGTCCATTAATACCAAAACGAATTGGCGCTGCGGTCGCGCACGGAGTGAATATACTATTTCTCAAGATACATCGTGGCATTTTGAGTTTAAAATTAAATAACTACAACATTTTAAATTGCTAAAACACCAACAAATAAATCAAAAAACAGCTGTCAATGGTGACTGAACTCAGGCGGAGGTGAGCGTTGAATGGGAAATCGAAGCAATTCGGGTGGCGTCGTGCAAACAATGATTTTCAATTGGTGGGTTACTTGGAGTTAAAACAGACAACATGCGCAGTGTGCAATGTTACATCTTCGGTCTCTTTTGTCTAAGGAAAAAATATAGGCCACCATGTGGCATATATCGGTATTGTGATGTTGCCATATATATATATAAGATAACAAAATTTCCCCAGATCTTGAGAAAACACGAAATTTATAATAAAGTGTCTTCTCGTCTACTATCCTCTTAGTGGGCGCTAGAAAGGAATTACCTGAACACAAATGTTGTCATCGTGATCATAAGAACAAGGTGTGCCATCTATTAGGTTTTCATTGGTGAAATATAGTTCCTTTTTGTTGCCTTTGAAGCAAATCAATTTACATTTTTTGGAATCTGAAAATTAAAAAAGGTTTATTATAATTGTCAATTCAGCGATAATTTTTATAGAAATTAATATTCAACAGTCACCAATTAGGCATTCCAAAATACGTGACTTTTGACAGTTAAAGACATTCAGGTTTTTAGATTGTTAAACTTTACTTAATACGTAACACTGCAAAGGATTGATCAAATACATAACATATTTTTTTCTAATTTTGACGTATAAAGTGACATTTTTTGTAATCGCAGCAATTATCAAAATTATCTTCTTTACGCAATCAATCAGTTCTATAATGTTAAACATTAGGCGATTTTAAATCAGTTACTAGAAATGTGACCAAGTCAAGTGTGGTCAAGGTTCTTACGTCATTATAATGACGTTCTAATAATCTGATTTAAAAATGTTTGGTTTATATTGACACTAACTTCACAATGGGTATAACATTGACAGATTTCATGAATTTTTGTTTGTGTGTTATGTAATAGTAGTAGGATTTGTTTTTGAATTTGTAGGGATAAAAAATAAATATTTGTTTTGTTTACTGATCATGGATGAAGAAAAAATTGGTATTATAGTTACTTTGGCCTCTGATTTTTTATCAAAACTTTAGCCATGTTCATTAATAAATCCTACCTTGAAAATAAATTGGCTTTTCATTTGCAGAAACCTTAAATGCGTCCATATCTAGGTACTCAGCCAGGGTTGCCAGACGTCGCGCTTTAGGCGTAATTGTCCTGCTTTTTAACTTGCTGGCACGCGTTACGCCAAAGTACAAAAATGCTCCGCATTTTATATTATTGCTACGTTTTTTAAATTCAAAGTTATATATAATGATATTTTTGACAATGTTTGACCTGTTTTTGAGAAGCTCAGAAAAAGGAATCTAATGGTTTAAATAAATATAAGCGGAGGACTTTTTTTAGATCTCTACAAAAAAGGAGCTTATTTTAAAAAAATACCTGTTTTTTAAACCTGATACCCTATTGTCACCATTGTCCCACTTTTCCCTTTCGTAAATCTTTCTTTCTATTTTACAAATAACACAACCAAACAATGATTTAATAATTAAAAAGTAAAAGTTTTACATTTGTCATTTCATTTGACATTTCATACCTGTGATGACCACGTTTTTACTGTAGTCATGTTAAACTTGACTATTTCAAGACAATATTCAATATGACGTCACTGTTTTTGATTTATATCAGTGTAGTCAATCATATTCAAGACATGATTTAAAATCGCCTATTATGAAACTGGTTTTGAAAAATTTTAAATGTCACCAGTTACGAAAAGAAAACAAATAAAAATAAATCTTTTTTACTTTTAAATTCAATAATATCCATTATTATTGAAAGTTTATAACAAAAGAAGGGCAGATTGACTTTGATTAAATTTAATGTTGTTTTGGTCCTCATTTTTCATTTTAAATTAGCACAAAATATTTAAAATACAATACACGACAAAATATAACACTTTCTAAAAACTAAATAGCTTTGATAAGCCATATAAATACACTAAAAGTCGAGAAGAATAAATAATTAATATATTATATTTGTCAATAAAATGATGCATATATATATGTAACTAACAATACAAGAAAATAGTAATATTGGTTGCCTAGATGTCCCCAATTTCTTATCAAAACACAATTTTATAATTAATCTAGTATAATTATTGTATGTAACACGTTATGAAATGCCATTTTATGTAACTTGTTTATGTTGCGGAACCTCGTTCTGCTCGTCTCGAAACTATTTACTCGTTACATAAAACAAGTCATTTCGTAACTGGTTTTATAAACTGCTATTCAATCATTTCGTCGCTGGAAAGACAAAGAAGCGTAACTACATTTTAGCTATTTCATCTGATAAGCAATTAAACATATTAATTGCCATATTAATTTAACTATAAAGAGAAGAGATACACCCCTTTGTCACACCACAGATATTCACTTTAACAGATTTGCTAAACGGGTAGTCACAACAGAAAAAGTAACATGGGCAATACGCACCTTCAATCCATATAAATCACCGGGATCAGATGGGGTACTGCCTGTGCTTTTGTAACAGGCAATAAAAACACTTGCTCCGCATATTTGTATTTGAGAGTTGTTTTTATACCTAAACCAAGGTGTCCAACATATGCCGTGGCAAAGCCTTAAAGACTCTGACGTCATTTCTATTGAAAGGTTTGGAAAAACTGATTGGTCAGCATTTCCGGCAAACCGAAAATCAAAGTATGTGGGCAAACCACTCTGATAGAGAGGACATTTCATACAAACCAACATACCTATCAATCAGGAAAATCTTGTCAGTCTGCTCTGCATCATCTCGTAACAAAGATAGAGGGGGACTTAATAGTAAAAAAATAGTCCTAGGAGCATTTTTTGACATAGAAGGAGCTTTCGATAATACCTCCTTTAAATCAATGGTAGCTGCCAATTGCAAACATGAAATAGAAGACACCATCTGCTTGTGGATAGAAGACATGTTACGCGGACGTTACAGGCACAAATGTTCAGAGAAACCATGCAGGTGAATATCCACAGAGGATGCCCATAGGGTGGAGTCCTTTCTCCTCTACTGTAGAACCTAGTGGCAGATGAACTGCTGAAAACACTGAATAATCGAGGGCTGTACGATTAAGGATATGTCGATGACATAGTCATCCTTATCCGAGGGAAACACAAAACCACAGTCTCCGAACTCATGCAAAGAGCTCTTAGGCTGACAGAAATGTAGTGTGTTAGGGAAAACTTCTTGGTAAACCCTGATAAGGCACAACTCATAACCTTTACTCGGAAAACAAGGTTGGAGGTCTTAGAAATTTTGACTCTGTTTGGAAAAAGGCTAAACAAAACGAATAAATTAAAATATCTGAGTCTAATTTTAGATAGCAAACTTACTTGAAACCAACACCAAGTAACAGACAAATGTAAAATGTCTCTCATTGTAGGGAGACGGACATTTGGAAAAACATGGGGATTAAAACCAAAAATGGTCCACTGGCTATATTTGGCAATAACAAGACCCATGATAACTTATGAAGTGGTTGTTTGGTGGCAAACGTAAACCAGGAAACAGCCTTCAATACCCTTTAAGGAGTTCAGAGGCTGTCATGCCTTTGTATAACAGGAGCACTAAGAAGTATACCGACAGCCTCTATAAAAATCATTCTAAACCTTCCATCCCTTGACCTAGTCATAATGGGGCAGGCCAGAATGAGTGCATACAGATTGGAAATCTGTAACAACACCATAATAACACATAAAGTAAATGATTCTATATTAAACATGGGATCAGATCACATGACATCCCTCCCAACTTTCAACAGACTCTTTCAGGTCAACTGCAACTGGAACGAGGCAAATGAGATAGATAAATAGTTGCTTGGCGGTCTCGTATGGTATACGGATGGATCTAAAACTAACAAGGGAACAGGCTCTGACGCACATGGAGTTAAACCCAAATGTGACATCATCGTCTCACTGGGAAAACATGCTACTGTATTTCAGGCTAAAATACATGCAATTGAATTGTGTGTAAGAGATAATTTAAGAAGGAAGTACAAAAAACAAACCATCCTAATTTTTTCAGAGAGCCAAGCAGCCTTTAAGGCTCTTGATTCAAACAGAATCAAGTCAAAGCTTATCTAGAACTGCATTGGAATACTAAATGATCTGGCAACCCACAACAAGGTAAAACTAGCGTGGGTACCAGGGCACAACGGTATCCAAGAAAATGAAAAGGCTGATGAATTTGCCAAAGAGGTAACAGTTCTACCATTCACAGGACCCGAACCTGTATTTGGGATAAGCAAAACCTCTGCTCGACAGGCAGTGAACACCAAATTCACTGGCAACAGATAAGAGGGCACAGAATCAGTAAGCTCGCTAAGAGGACTAAACCCACGCATAGCTACTCAGGCACTACAACTCGCCTTTCCTCAGATATCCACCTTTATGAGATTACTAACGGGGCACTGCTTGTTGAAACACCTTTAGAGGAAGAAACCTCATACCATGTGATCTTCGAATGCGAAGCTCTTACTAGGCGAGGTTTCATCCTCTTCAGCCTAGAACCGGAAAGAACGCCCTAGGAACACTTGGTAGGGAACTTATTAAAACTAACCAGAGACACAGGACTATTCCAAAGATAGTACCTAAATACGAGGAAAATAGGGGAATACAATAGACCCAAGAGGCCGCAGTGTTCTGGACCAAACCTTACCCTACCTGTGATGGTCGTAAGTCAAACTGATCATTTTTTAACTTACGCCCCTTTGCCTTCCCAACAACTCTTTTATTAGTAATTTTGATTAATTAATACGATCTCTGATACAAGATTTGGAAATAAATGTGACTTTTGTCATCGATATGGAACAATAACATAAAACTATATATGTCATTGTTATGGAAGATATGGCGCGCTCTTCTTCTGACTTTTCTTATCTGTATAATAATGGTCTTTACCTAAATTAGTCATAAGACTCACAATCATAAGAGTCACAGTTTTAGCACATATTACTGATATCAAATTAACCTCCTAAGAATATTTTTGTTATAAATTTACCCTTAGAATCGTACATTTTCTATTTTTAAACTACTTTCGTAAAAAATTCTATTTCGATTATAATGTAAAGAAACGTTTCTCAGCTTACCGACGCATAAAGGTTACAAATTCAAAAACGTGGTCAAAAGTCACTAATTGAATATAGGAACCTCTCAGGCTCTAGTTATGTATTACCTGTGCTACTTCAAATGGCTGTCGATATCTATTTTTATCCTATCATTGAATACGCTGTGTACGTAAAATATAGGGTAGCGAAAAAGTCTGGCAAAAAGGTATTTCCTTTAAAACGAATAAATCTATAATTATGTAATTGTAGGGTGATGAGTGGAATTATATTCTACATTTTTAAGAGGACATATCAAATTTATGTGACGTTTAGCGTACTGCCGCAATCTTGAATTTTTTAAATGCAAACGTAGATCGAGTGATATATTATAGATAAGCTTATTTTTCTCTTTTTAAGAATATAAAAAAAAGTACCACATTACTAATGTATTACAGTCCCATTCATTACCCTAAAATACCTCGTTGTCAGACTTTTCCGCTACCCTGTATGTATAGGATCAGAAAAAAAGAAACACAAAAATAACAAAAGAAAAACAAAAAACACAAAACAAATATATAAAAAAAAAACAAAAAACAACAAAAGAACTAAACAAAAGCAACAAAAATAAAAAAAATTAAAATCAAACAAAAAACTAAGCAAAAACCAAACAAAAAACCAAACAAAAATCCAAACAAAAACCAAACAAAATACCAAACAAAATACCAAACAAAAAACCAATCAAAAAAACAAAAAACAAAACAAAAATCGAAATAGTGAACCTCATTTAATTTTCAAATGTTTAATTTTAGGTTCGTAATCAGTCCCATATCACATATCTTATAAAAATTGCACTGTTTTTATAATTTTTATCTGCCATTTTTTTATTTTTATTTTGAATCAGCAACTTCAACAAACCCGATATTCAAGTTTTCATACAAATCAAATGTCTTCATATTTCTGTCACATTTTTGTAATTTGGAACCACTGTGCAACGGCCATATTGGTTTTTTTTAAGATGACGTTAAAATGCCCAATTCAAGTTATAAACTTTGAGAAAGACACTTTTGTTTTATTCGTCTTCGAACTAAAGTAAACCGATCGATTTACTACTAAAACTGAAGTTAGTAAACAAATTTTCTCACTTTCGTCACTCTCGTATGGCAGCCAAGTGAAGTTTGATCCGGAAATCGAAGAGGATGTCGACAAATTGAGAAATTTCGGCAAGTGTTTGCATTGTTGAGCCCTTATGTCAATAGTTGGTTCGACGCAATTATTTATTTTGCACAAATGCCATTCTTCGTCTTGACCTTCGCACAGTTTTCCTCCGAATGACGGCCTGGAAAACAAATCGGGGTATTTTATTGTCAATGTGTGATTTTTGAAGATTTAAACCAGGGATTCCAAAACTATTTTAAGCAAGAGACCTCTTTTCCAAAATAAACTAATACTTCAGACTATCATAGCTAAATTACTTTAAAAATCCTATCTATAGTTTTTTTCCTATTAATACAAAATACCAATTTAAAAACTTTGCGATTGGTTAAGTGAGTAAACTTGACATCATTCTCTCATCAAAATTTAACAAAATAAATCAGCACCTCAGCAGAGGTAAGGTGTGTTGAGTCACATTTTTCAGAGAATAGTATATTGTTTCACGAGTGACGAAAAAAATGATTTTCGACGAGTAAAACACTATACTTTTTCTACGAACTCTATTATGTCATGTAGGTACCTACTAAAATGAAAAAAAAACAAACGTTAGCAAATGCTTTATTTTGTAATAGGAATAACAAAAAATTAACCAACAATTAAATATTTCAGAAATATTATTTATTATTTAAATATTGATTTATTGTTATATTTGAACAATTGTTCAAAATTATGGGGGTATCACACTCAAGCTTTTTATTTATTGAGGTAGATGCCGACATATTTGTTCTACTGTTAAATGTCATTTCAGATGATGATGCGCCATAATCAGATGAACTAGTAGTTTCCTTATTTTGTACAGATTGTAAAATTTTGGTTTGTATTTGGTTTTTACTGTTCGTAGATTCATCAACATATCCTTCCGCAACACTACTAGATTTCCAACCACCGTGCTTTTTTAACAGAAGCAAGTCATCTTCTGCATCAACTAATAGCGTTGCGGAAGTTCTGCGGAAACAGTGCCCAGTGTAATCTTGAGGATTCGGAAGCGTTAAAAACTGAGCAATTTCGTTAGGAAATTTACTGATTTTATTAATTCCAACAACCTGTCTGCTACACTTTCCATTCTGATAGTTAATAAAGAATCTTGAATTAATTTGATTCATGTTTGCGGGACGTAGGCTCATATATTTTTTAGAAATATCATAAAAGGGTCCAGAAATATGAAAAGAATGCGGAACTTTTGTTTTTGTATTACGGATTTTAACTAACAGAATACTTCCAGTATCCTTTACATCGCTTATTGTTAAATCTTTTAGTTCGTGGCAACGACAAGCGCCAGATAATCCAAAAACTAATGATACCTACAAATATTAGTAGTTATGTATTAAGTATTTGTTAAAATAAAAATAATAATTCCGTTACCTTTGTTATTAAATATTTATAGTCAGGTGCATTCTTTAGGAAAGTCTTTATGTCTCTAGGCGAAAAAATTTTTGATTTTTGGCTTTTAAAACCATCAGATTTTCTTTTCAAAAGCGAACGTAACTTTGGATATTTACTAATATCGACATCATTTTTAACAGAGAGTGTAGTTCTTAGCATCGAATAAATGGACCATAACGTCGACGGTTTAAAATTTGTACATATTTCTCCAAAGTATGCTAGTAGTATAGTTTCCGAAAATGATTTCACTTTATTTTTTTCTCTCCAGTCCAAAAATTTCCATACCCACATACTTTGATTACATCAAAGTATGTGGGCGTACCGGATATTATTTAACTTAACCTGTATTTCCATTTGTCATTTAATTGTGTCAATAAATTACGATGAAGACGTATTTTTATTGTGGAAAACGAAGTGAAAAGAGTATTCGTACTCTTCATAGGTAAATAAAACTATTATACAAGGTGGCGCAAAATAAAGTCCCCTATTTGTTTTTTATATAAAAGTAAGATTAATTAAAAAACAGTCATATTATAAATGAAAAATATTTATTTAAACTCTAAAAATTTGTTTTCTTACACACTAAAAACAATATTGACCAAATGACCACCCCTAGAATTAATGCAATAATGAACTCTTTTTAAAGCATTTTTCATAACTTTCTCCAACATTTCATGTGGTATTCTGTCAATTTCTTCCCGGATGTTGTCTTTTATTGCTTCTAGTATTCGAGGATTATTTACAAATACCCTATCTTTGAGATAACCCCATAACCAAAGGTCTGGAACAGTTAAATCGGGAGACCTTGGCGGATATGCAATATTGGCGTTTTTCGAGATAAGGCGTCCAGGAACAATTTTGATAATCGACGAATTATTTTAATAAAAAAAAATTACGATTTCGGCACGTTCTCGAGGCGTATATCGATTCATAATGAATTTTTCAAGTATCCACTTTGCAACTGATAGAAAAACTCGAACAGATGTCAACTACAAACGAAACCATGAGAACATTCCATAGGGTACTTGATTTTGCGCCACCTTGTATTTATAATAATTTGTTAATAGATTTAACTATTTTGTCGAAACAAACTGAAACAATTACTAATTTACACATTATTTATTATACAAGCACACAAGAATAAAAATAACATTTTTCGATTAAATGAAAAAATTGAAGTGAATTAAAACGATTATTACTAAATTAAATAATGTTCTTGTTATTTAAGGTTTCCTACAGAATTGGAACTTTTAGGGAAATGGCTGAAGAGTATGGATATGAACAATTTTAATGTAAGTGCAGAAATGTTTCCCCAAAACCGATTAGGAGTATTTCGAGGGAATGTTTCTCCAAAACCGATGGGAAATATTTCCAGTGCACATTCCCACTGCCCGTCTCTGGTCTTGAAAGATTGTTTAACCAATTAGTTGAAAATAGTTTTGATCGAAAACACTCTTCATATGCACATGCAAATAATGGTTGGTATTTTTGTTTAGTAACAATTATATATCTATTGCTGAGTTCACTGGAATATATTAGTTTAGTCGGGTTTGGGGCTGAGGATTTTCCTGAAGAGTGAGGTCTAAGCTAAGTTTTTAGGCATTTCTGTATTAATCATGTAGAACTTACAGGATTAGAAGGCAAATTGGCTCAACTTTCGTTTAGCCGAAATCTGTTATGCAAAAACTGTTGTCATAATAGCAAAACCTCTAATCTCATGGTGAGGAAATGCGTGGTTGCCAAGCTGTAGATGATTACGGTTTTTGTTTCATTTCATTTAGCTGAAATCAGTTATGCAAAAAATGTTGCCATGGGCATGCTTGTCATGTTACCGACTAAACAAAAACCCAAATCTCGTGGTGGAAAATGCGTAGTTGCCAAGTTATAGATCATTTAATGTTCACTTTAGTTTAGCTGAAATCAGTTACGAAAAAACTGTTCTCATGGAAACGCTTGTCATGCTAATGACTAAACAAAAACCCAAATCTCGTGGTGAGGAAATGTGTAGTTGCCAAGTAGAGATTAGTAGGTGGGTGGAACGAGCGTAGCGTGACCTTATGATGTAGGTGGAGGAAGGTCACGCCTGGCCGACGTTTCGAAATTCGCACACGCGAATATCAAATTGTCGGCCAGGCGCACTCGTCTCGCTCGCTCTCCTCTGTACTGGTTAGAAGGTGGGTGGGAGAAGCGTTGCGTGAGCTTATAATTTAAGTGGAAAAAAGGCACGTCGGCTAGGCGCGATCGCTTCACTCGCTCTCCTCTGTAGTAGTTAGGTTGTGGGTGGGAGGAGCGTAGCGTGATCCTATGGAGAAACTGTTGCCATGGAAACGCTAGTGTCATGCTAACGACCAAACAAATCCCGCAGTGAGAAAATACCTAGTTGCCAAGTTGTAGATGGTTCTATTTTCACTTTAGTTTAGATTAGGATATTGTGTTAAGAGTTAATATAAATACATGAGGAAATTATGCATTTCCTCGCCACCGGATTTAGGTTTTTATTTAGTAAACATTACAAGTGTCTCTATGGCAACAGTTTCTCCGTAACTGATTACTAAATTAAACCATCTGTAACTTGGCAACCACGCATTTCCTCACCATGGGATTTGATTTTTTGTTTAGTCGTTACTATGTCAAGCGTTCCCATGGCAATAGTTTTACCATAACTGATTTCGTCTAAACTAAAGTGAACATTAATTAATCTATAACTTGGCAACTATGCATTTCCTCACCACGAGATTTGGGTCTTTTTTCACTGGTTACCATGGCAACGGTTGACATAGCAACAATTTTAACATAACTGATTTCGGCTAAACGAAATTTGACCCAAAATGGTTAGAGAGATAATAAAAGACCATGTATTAACCTGGAATGGTTGGAAATGTTAATTAAAGTTTTAAACAGTGGTAATAATCAGTAAATTTTGTTAGCTTTCCTAATCTACTTACCTGCATTATCTAGCAAAATTCTTAATATAAATTATGTGTGAAAACACCACTAGATCAGTTCTAATAATTATAATCGCTTTAGCTGCATGTATCAATATTCCTAAACATTTTCACAGGTATTTTTTAGATCTTCTTCTACATCTTTTAACCATATTTATATCCATGTGTTCCTAGTTTTATTGTAACAATGGCAAACTCACTGATTCTCGTTTCAAACTTGTTCCCTAAAAGTGATTCTACCATATAGGTATGTATCTATCTCGAGACTGTTATTTCTATTATCAATATCTCCTTTTAGTTGTAGTCCTTATAGTTGATAAATAAATAAATAAATAATCCCTAGTGCATTTTTAAGAATTTTCTTTTTCACTATAGGTACCTACTGATCCTTTATCTGCTATTTACGTAGGTAGTATCGGATAGTATTACTATGATATAAACAATAAACGATCATTCGGGAAGACACAATATGCTTCACGTTTCCATTTTTATATTTTCTTTCATAAAAAATCAAATTATGGGTGAAGGACATTGCCTGCAAAAGCAATAGAGGAAGAGTAAGAAAAAGAACTAATCAAATCATAGGTTAGGTATGTCAAATTATCCCGCCATAATTTGCCTAAATCGGCTAGCAGTGTTGTACTTCCGGTCTCCTTGGAGAAATGGATTTTTAGTATGTCAAATATAGCCTATATCCTATCCAGTAAAATAATACAAATCAGTGTAGAAAACAGATTTAATTCCGTAGTTACATCATTTCGCCAAGAAGATGACGGAACACTCGGTAAGTCACAAACCAAGTATTGTAAATTAAGGTTTAATCATTTTAAGTCACATCAAAGTCAAAAAGCCGATTTGGACCCGTATCGGCTACTTTAGGAATCCCTGATTTAAACAAGTATTTAAAATAGTTTTATACAGGGTGTTTCAAAAAGATTGGTCATAAATTATACCTCGTATTCTTGGGTCAAAAATAGGTCGATTGAACTGTACTTACCTATATACAAAAGTGCACCCAAAAATAGTTACAGGGTGTATAAGATAAAAATTTAAATGTTTTTTTTAACGTTGCTCTTAAACCGTTTAACATTTTTTCATGAAATTTTATATCACGTGTTGGAAAACCATGACTAACAAAATTAAGGTAGAGGCAATATATTTTTTTTTATTTTTATAGGATTTTGGAGGATGTCACCGCCCCTTTCTCTATTCAACTTTTTTGTAATATAAAATGTTATTAAAAATCAAACGCTACTGAAATGCAACATCTATTTGAAAACCTTTTTGTTTCTTAGTATTTGTTTGTGAAATGTTTGGTTTAGACGATACAGCCACTTTAAATGACATCTTAAAAATATTCAATGTAAATTATACGTATGAAAAAATATCAAAATTCGATTTTCATTGTTAAAACTATGTAGTAAGTGTATACAGGAGGAGAATGTAATTTTGAACACCTGATAAATTAATTTTTTTATTTTGATGAAATTGGTTTGTAGTTTAAAAATAAACTCGATTTTGATATTTTTCATACGTAGAATTTCCATTGAATATTTTTAAGTTATCATTTCAAATGGCTGTATCGTCTAAACTAAACTTTTTACAAACAAATACTAAGAGACAAAAAAGTCTTCAAATGGATGTTGCATCCAGTGGCATTTGTATTTAAATTTCATACTACAAGAAAGTCGAGTGGAGAAAAGAGCGGTGACCCCTTCCAAAAACCTATAAATATAAAGAAAAAAATATTGCCTCTTCCTCGGTATTATTAGTCATGGTATTCTAACACGTCATATAAAATTTCATGAAAAAATGCCTAACAGTTTAAGAGCAACGTTAAAAAAATTCATTTAAATTTTTATCTATTAACTATTTTTGGGTGCACTTTTGTATATAAGTAAACTACTGTTTAATCGACCTATTTTTGACCCAAGAATATGTGGTATAATTTATTACCAATCTTTTTGAAACACCCTGTATATCTTACAATTTCAAATCTTTTATTTATAAACAACTACAGACACAAGTTATGACTTAAAAAGGGTAATTGTCAAAATTATTAAAAACAAGAGATAGTGGAGCATGGCTCTTGAAAAAATATCAGCATGTATATTCTCATAACCATTTGTAGATTTGTACATTATATTTAGAAACACCCTTATTAATTTTTAAAAGATTCTTGCAACAAAAATATGCAAGGTAATTATTTATCTAATGTTTAATATAATTGATAGTTATAAGTAATAATGTACGAGGATGATTTGGTGTATCTGAACTCAGTTACAGTTGACGTTCTCAAAATAAAAGTATTGACAGTACTGTTCAGTTTAGTTACAAGTTGCAACTGTGTCTAGCATATGTATCAGCCCTAGTTAAAATGCTGCCCCACCGTGTCCAAATACTTACTAATACTGCGTTTGAATATCCACATATGATGCATTTTTTACCTCTCGAGCGTTTGTTTATCCACATTGGACACATCTGTTCTTACTAAATTTACGTATCTTAAATCACGTCAAATTCATCCAATGTGGACAAACAAACTCAGCATAAAATATGCTTGTATATTAAAAAAAAAGAATGGTTATTTTTTAAATAAAATAGGATAGTTATTTTTTCTTACGGCGGATTTTGGCATTTCCTCGTTCTAAACTGGACACCAATGCCACACGTCCTAGAGCAGGGTCCCCAAGGACTCCAATCGGTCCATTGACCATCTTGAGGATTAAGTACTATAGGCACTCGTTCGACTCTTCTGTTTGCAAAATTTTCGCAATATCCATTCACACACCACTAATAACAATAACACAATAAAACAATTAATTTAGAGGTATTTTCAGTATTTTAAAATATTTTCAGTTAAAGTATGTATACATGGATTTCAAAAAACCTATTCAGATAATTTTAAAATTCATAAACATAATGCAGCCTGAGCGGCAGAAAAAAGAAAAAAGAAAAAAGAAAAAAGAAAAAAGAAAAAAGAAAAAAGAAAAAAGAAAAAAGAAAAAAGAAAAAAGAAAAAAGAAAAAAGAAAAAAGAAAAAAGAAAAAAGAAAAAAGAAAAAAGAAAAAAGAAAAAAGAAAAAAGAAAAAAGAAAAAAGAAAAAAGAAAAAAGAAAAAAGAAAAAAGAAAAAAGAAAAAAGAAAAAAGAAAAAAGAAAAAAGAAAAAAGAAAAAAGAAAAAAGAAAAAAGAAAAAAGAAAAAAGAAAAAAGAAAAAAGAAAAAAGAAAAAAGAAAAAAGAAAAAAGAAAAAAGAAAAAAGAAAAAAGAAAAAAGAAAAAAGAAAAAAGAAAAAAGAAAAAAGAAAAAAGAAAAAAGAAAAAAGAAAAAAGAAAAAAGAAAAAAGAAAAAAGAAAAAAGAAAAAAGAAAAAAGAAAAAAGAAAAAAGAAAAAAGAAAAAAGAAAAAAGAAAAAAGAAAAAAGAAAAAAGAAAAAAGAAAAAAGAAAAAAGAAAAAAGAAAAAAGAAAAAAGAAAAAAGAAAAAAGAAAAAAGAAAAAAGAAAAAAGAAAAAAGAAAAAAGAAGAAGAAAAAAAAAGAAGGTGGTAAAAGGAGATAAAGAATTTACCTTTCCGAAGCCGCATTCTGTCCCTTCTAATGGAGGTCCTTTTTTGGTTTTACAAACCAGAGGACTATTTTCGTGTCCACACCACAAATGAGAACAAGGTTCGATTATCTCGAAGGATCTGCACATTGTGTATCTGAAATTTTTTAATATAAAACATTTGAGAAACTTACATGAAGTTGTTACCTGTAAGAATGATTTTATTTTCTATAGAAATTTCATAGGTTTTATTTTACAAAACACTCATTAGTTTTTAAATGAACGAAATATTTGTCTCCAAAAACGGTTACAGCCTATGTTTATGTTAACACTATCAAGATACGGAGGTATTGGATTACGAATATAGGAACTAAGAGTAAAATATCAAGAAGGCATAGAATACAGATCATAATTATTTAATATAACCCGAGAATACCGATCAAGGAGAAGCGACAGTAGCTGTCGGTGCCTTTGATATCGGATGTACCTTTTTCACGGCATGACTTTGATTGATACACAACTTAGCACGCTGAGAAAACATGCTTATTTTCTACACTGAGCGAAATAGTTTGGCAAATTATCTGAAATTATTGTCATAGTCCATGCACAAATGTTGCAATGTGATTTAATTACATTGAAGTAGTTAGGGTTAATAGCAATGATGAAATTTCGGCACCAAAATATAATTCATTATGTAATAATTAATTATTTGTTATAAAAGTAAAAGACATTTATTGTTTTATAATTTACCTATAAAATTTGTTTAATATTTGGTTTATTTATTGTTAAAAATATAATAAAAGGCCCATATTTAAATTACCTTTTCCTCAAGTAAAAATAAGGTAAATAAAATTAAGGGCGCCAAAAAAAATTTAGGTAACAATTAAAAAGACATTAAGTTTGAGAGGTTTAACTAAATATTTGCAATGTGCATATATTTTCAAAGCTTTTAGGTTTAAAAAGTACTTACATATTTTTAGAATTTCTAGATTTATATTATATTAAAAGGACTTTCAAGTTTATCGCTCATTTCTGTAGAAACAAGTGTTTTCTCGCCAAGGTAAACCAGATGTCATTTAAGGTTTATGTATTTAGAGTTAAATACCTGGCCTGGCTATCACCCAGACAATACAAATATGTCCATTGGACTCCATTCGATATACAATTTTGGATGTCTAGACGTCCAAAAATGAATTTTCTGGACTTCCGACATCCAATGGACGTCCAGTGAAGTATACAAATGGCACACGTTTGACCATTCAGAGGACGTCCAATTCTGGAATATATTTGGACGTCGAATACTGGACATTCAAAAAACGTTCAGGATTATATTTCCATTGAGACCACATCCCCACTTTTTTTACAGAACCGCAACTCACCACACACTATTTTATATTATTAATAATTTGTTATTTTTGCAAACCGCTATACACCATTTATATATTTTTTATTAAAAATCGCTTGACCTGAGCAGGAATCGAACTCACGATACATCCATTATCGTTTTACGCTTTCAATCGCTAGACGAGCTCGACCAAGGAACCACTTGAAAACTTTTTACTAGATACAGTTATAATTAATTAAGATTTCAAACTTCCGCTGATAGAATGAAATGCAATGGATTCAATTTGTCAATTTTTAATGACCAGTTATATTAAAAGAAAGAAGTAAATATAAATGGGTATTATCTGGTAGGCTTAATAAATAATGACCTAAGATGGACGTCTACTGGACGTCAAAATACTACTAAACTTAAAATTAAGTCCAAAAACAGACGTTCTCTGGGTATCGATATTCAGCTGTCAATTTAATTAGCATAAACGGACGTACACTGGATGCCCGGATATGGACGTTCTGACCCTCAAATAGATCTAAAGTGGACGTCCATTGGACTATGTGTGCATAGACGAATTTTTAGAAATAGTACTTATTTAAGTATGCACCAATATTTCCAAAATCAACTCCAGTATGATTCATTCAATAAATGTAAATATGAATGGACAAAACATCTTTATATTGACATAATTGTAACTTACAATTTAGCCATAATAAAGGGATTTCGCCCACTTTGACCAATCCTAATTGAAACACGCGAATGTATTATATTTTTTTAAATATAATTTCAAAATAAAATAAACAAAATCTGCAGTTCATTGTTTATTAAATTTATTTAAAAGAAGAAAAACATATATTTCACAAAATACAATACCTACATATGAAAAATAAAATGTCAAAAATGATTAAATCATTATACTTAATATTTATGCATGTGATAAAATTCTTAGTTTCCTAATAACATTTTAGGCACATTTTATATCTGTATTAGAATACCTAAGTGTGTAAAAATCTTCATCTTATTACTACACAAAACAAACACCAAAAAATATCACTAAACACTAAACACAATTTGGACTGACTTTGACAGATAACATAATTTTGAGTGATACACAACTTATTTTCGCACATGCGCGATACAAAACGGTACACTGAAAACACCAAGCTGTCGCTTCTCCTTGATCGGTATTCTCGGATATAACCCCGTTAATTTAGGATATAAGGTTCTATCAACACTTGACAAAATATCTTTACGTCAGAATTGACAAAGTAACTATAAAAAGTTGATGGATAATTATTACGTAATATAATTTGCAAAATAACTTGATTACAAATTAAAATAAAACTAATTGATAAAACATAATTACTCAGTGAGAAAAACTCACCCTATTCAGCAAACAGCCATTCCTAAAAATTACAATTATTTACTAGTTTATTATTATTGGAACGAACATTAATTTTGTTCCGCGAAGCAACTAACCAAAATTTATTTGACTATTTACTTGTATTTTGTTTCCCTCTACGAGATATAATCAAAAGTAAAGTGACTTGGATTGTCTGTTCTGGCATAGTACATTGCGGTTAGTGTATGCGTTTATTTTGGGATTACTGTGGTCAGTTTTCCAGAGTCGTCGTACCATGGTTGGTGCGGGCTAGTGACATTGCGGCCAGTGTGCTAGTAATGACTTAATTTACATATCGATCGATAGTTTGAGCATTTCGGTCAGTGCCAACAGAATTGAGAATATAACTTTTTGTCAATTATGGAAAATTTAAAGTTGTGTCAATTATATTTTTTATAATCAATATTTTGACATAAAGTGTTATCAGTATAATTTTCTTGTTAATTAAATAGATAATAAGTATTTTGGTTACGAATATCACCTGTTCATAACTTTCCTTATTTATTTATTTATTTATTTATGTTTAAATTTCCATAAGACAATATTAATTGTATTGGAATATAGTCAAAAAAAATAAACTATATGTAAAAGCTACCTATAGCTGAATGATAAAAAAAAATTATTAAAGATATTAATTAAAGATACTGTCTTCATAATGCAAAAAAATCATCAAAAGTATTAGTTACCAGGAATTTTTTAAGATGACTTTTAAATTGGTTAATACTTCTACATGTCCTTATGACTTGAAGTAATTTGTTATAAATTCTTGGACCTAGATAATTTGGCGAACAATAGGTTACTTTCTCCCTGGCTAGCGGCAAATGAAGAAGATGGTTTTGTCTCATTGGATAACTGTGATATTCATTATTGTAGAAAAGTTTCTTTAAATTTTTACGAACGAAGACACACAGTTCAAAAATATAAATTGAAGTCACAGTTAAAATTTTTAATTTCTTAAAGTATTCCTTACACGATGTACGACTACGAATATTCTCGATGTAGCGAATAATGTTTTTTGCACTATGAAAACAGAGGATACAGTTGTGGCATTACCCCAGAGACAGACATCATAACGTAACCTGGAGTCGACTTGTGCATATAATGCTAATAGTTGCGTTTTTTCAAAAACGTTTCTCAAATTAAGGAAGAGAAACTTCAATGAGTTTAATTTAGAGATTAACTTTTCACAATGGTGTTTCCAGTTAAGATTTGCATCTAATAAAATATCTAAAAATTTAACGCTACTGTGCCTGTTCATCAATAATGACTAAAAAATATATATCATTAACTTTATTTTGCACGTTGTGTAGTCTAAGAATTTCGGTTTTTTCGCTATTAAAAAATAAGCAACTACTGTTAAAAAATGTACTTACATTAGTTAAAATCAGTTCACATTTTGTCTCAAGAATTTCAGTAGATTTATTAAAAACAATTATAGAAAATTCATCGGCATAGGCTGTATAAGAATTTTTTTCAATATAAATGTATAAATAAGAGCAAGGTACGTTGGGTTGCATAAAATAAAATCGTTGATTAATAGAAAATAATTCATTAATAGGGGTCATTAATCAACGATTTTGAGTGCGTTAAATGGAATCAATATGGTTAACAAATAGGAGGAATATCATTGGACTTAAAATTGATCCCTGTGGCACACCCATCTAAACTGACAAGTGATCTGAATTACAATTTTTGCATTGATCTTTACTGGTGGATTTTATGGATACAAACTGAGACCTGCCTTTTAGAAATGAAGCTATGTTCTCTAATCTGGCCAATAAAATATCGTGATTCACACAGTCAAATGCTCTGCTGAGGTCACAAAAAATAACAGCAGGCATTCACCCTTATCAACGTGTTCAATAATTTTTTCGTAAAAGGAATACAAAGCAATGGTAGTAGACATAAAAGATCTAAAGCCATGTTGGTTACCACTGAGAACCTGAAAATTATTTAAAAATTACATTAATCTATCGAGGAATACATACTCAAATATTTTACCTGTTTTAATGATTTGCGGAAAACTACTCTGCACAAACGATTTATTTATTAGAAAAGTAATTGAAGACATAATTAAAGTAAGGACTCTTTTTATGAGCAAACAAGGAACATCGTCACTTCCTGCTGATTTTCTGTTTTTAATTTTTTTATTAAGCAGATTACACAATTCATCTTCACTGAAGGGAAAAAGAAAAAGACTTTTTGAAATAAAATCCATGCATGTTTCAATATAGTCCAGTAACTGACGACCTAAAAATATGCAAAGCTGTCATTAAGTCGGTCCAGATTTCCTTTGTGGCTCAATTATTAAGTCTTGACGGTTGCTTTCAACGGCAAAAACTTTTACCAACACTGCTGGGTCGGAAAGGGCTCAAAATGGCCCCAAAAATCCGAAAAAATAATTTCCCGCTAATATCTGCCAAAATATACAAATTAGACAATATTTTTTTGCAAAAACGGCCTACGAAAAGCCCGAATTTTTGCACTGAATAGAAATGTTAGTTTCTCACTGAATTTTCACTCGAGGGAGTTGGGAATACATTCATTTTCATGTTTTGGACTTTAGAGACCAATTGTAGATTGCGCCAGCGGCATACCTCTGCTCACTAAATTATGGGGCCTATGAATGGAAATCCGGGCACCAATCGATCTTTCGACAATTATTGGCGGATTCTACGGGATTTTTTTCTGTAAAGTAGCGCTTGGGGTATCTCATCTATATTGCCGAATGTTCTGTGTAATTTGCGTTGCAAAATTTAATAGAAATTTGAAAAAAAAATTTTTCATGTGGCAGCCTCAAATCCCGGCGCTTTGCCTAATAGTGAGTTACTAGTTTTAGAGTGTGATGAATATTGACCCTTTATATTTTCTGCGTCTTTTGCAAAATTTTCGCCAACTTCTATCGGAACAATATAGGTCTAGGATTTCAGAAAAATAAGAAAGTTTCTGAAAAATGTATTTTATGAAAAACATGTTAAAAATACGAAATACATAGCAATGCTTATAAATCATACGTTAAACCATTTCAATGTCATCAGAATCATATTTTCTTTAAATATACGAAAGAAATACATAACGACCGACAATAACGACTCCAAAAACAACAGAGATTGTATACCAACAAAAGCAGACGATTAAGGTGAGCGCGTAGCGCGTGGGTACACGTGGTTAGGTTATGATGGAATATCATGGATCTCAGGCGGAGAGCGTAAAAATGGGGGATATAATTCTAACAAACAGTTAAGAACCACGCTCACATACGGGGATCAATTGATAGAAATGGAAAGGTGAGAATATCAGCTTCACTTCGGTCTGGGTATTAATGTTCAAAAAATAAACAGCAGGGAACAAGAAGTATTTAAAAAAAAATTCCGGTTTTCCCCGGTGTGATCAATTTTCCCGATTTCTGGAAAATGGAGCACTTTATTAAAAAAAAAAATACATTCGAAAAGTAGACACTCTAAGCTTTAAAATGGTGTTTATTGAATAACAATATAACGAAATATGAGTTTTTAATTACTAATTGTTTCAAAGATTTCTAGAACTCCGAAAACGTATGAAAAATGCAAATAAACAAATCAAATTTCTGAGATCATTAGAGACATCTCAAGATCCCATTTAAAACAAAAATGGGATAAAAAACTATTAAAAGAAAAAAATATGAATTAATTTCTATAAGGTGGTCCAAAATAGTGGGAAAACGCAAGTTTGACCCCTTTTTCAATGTTCTTGACAGGAAATAACGAGCTTCAAGGCACATGGATCGATACCTATGGGTTTTCCCATTGTAATGAACTTTGAATCATCGAAAAATATCAATTTTTGACCGAGTTCTGAAACAATTTGTCCACCCGTTTACAAGCTAATCATAATCAGTATTGCTATAGAGATAAAGCAGGGGCTGAACGAGGTGACTTTTGATTGCGGTTATCTCGAAATCTGTCGAATTCCCGACAAAAATGATAGGGACCATTTTTGTAGATAATGATAAGATCTTTCTTTTTATCTAAACAAAAATTCGCTAATTTGCATATTGTGGAAGACATTGGCGGGAAACCAGTTTTAGGGTCCATTTTGGGGCCTTTCCGACGCAGCAGAGTTGGTAAAAGTTTTCGACCTTGGAAGCGACCGCCGAGACCTAAGAGTTGAGCCACAACGGAAATCTGGACCGACTTAATGACAGGTTGGTCCCTTCAGTTATTGGACTAATAGTAGGTACTGAAGGTATATTTTGTACCTTGTTAACAGGCTCATTGACAAAAAAATTATTAAACTCTTCTTTTATTCCTACCCATAGAGCATTTGCGAACTGGAAAAGCTGATTTAAAATGGAATAAAAAATTATTGTAAAAGTAATTAAATGCTTCATCAAAATCGCCAATTTGATAAAGAAATCTCCATTCAATATTTTGTATTTGATTAAAAAATTAATATAAAACTGCTTTTGGTAAACTTAATTGCTCATACTTGTTTTTCTTTTATTTCAGGTACGCCATCTCATACGTGCATTAATTAAGTATTTTATATATTTTATTTTACCATTATTTTATTTACGTTTTATTGTTTTTATTCATTTAATACTTATTTCTAAATTATTTTATTTTGTTCTAAATTTTACCTTTTAATTTAAAGTTATTAAATCGTTTATTGAATGAATTTCTAGTTTTTCCTGACATTGATTAAATAACTAAATATTACCGCCCAAGTTTACAATAGATATTTTTAAATTACAAATATCGCCCTATATACCGAACCATTTCTGCCTTCCCTTAGTTTCACTTACTCTACATTTTGTAATAAAAATGTTATTTAGTTTAAGCCATTTTTTACAAAAATAATTTTGATTTAATATGTAGAACATGTAGATCATGTATTAAAATAAATAAATATACAGAGAGCCCCACGTTGGGCGCCAATTAATAAAACGGTGTAAATTAAAATTATGAATTTATAAGAAGGACGTTTTGAGGGCGCTACTGGGTTTTACGAGGCAAAAATTAGGAAATAAAAAATTTAATTGCAGTTCTGATTATTTTCATATTGGTACGCTATAATAGAGGTAATTAATATTATACATAATTATGATTTGGTTTTGTTTATTTAATTAATTAAATATTACTTTGCTGTATAATAATTACCTTTATTTAAAATAAAACTCAATGTCGATACTGGGAATTTATAAACGCAACAAAAAAATTCTCCGAATAATACGAACATCAAAAAACATATTCCAAGAATGACGAAAATAAAAGAACTTGGTTTCGGCCTCTCCATCGATTCACTCATTCAAATTTTCTCGGAATCGAATAAATTTTCTCGTCTTATCTTATTTCGCGTGAGAAATATGCAAAAAGGTAATTTTCATTTTTCTTTTTCTCGTTTTTACATATGTACGTACCCGTCTCCAAATTCCATCCTGCATTGCTGATCCATCGTAAAGGATGCCTGGAGGGTTGCATTCAAGGAGATTTCTCCCACGCCCGTGGGGGGATTCAACAGGCACAACCACTTGCTGCAAAAAGAAGGAAATCATTTCTTTCGATAACATGTTTTACGCTTCAAAAAATTTTCGCATAAAGGATTTTTATTGCTACGTCGGGATTTTTATTATTCAACCGATTGCAGATAAATTCAATTTTTACCGCTTTATACAGTGTAATTCTAAAATTCAAATAACACAGTGCGTAAACGTAATAAGTACCTACGTACAGTTTTAGTATCATATGCACATGACGTAAAATGTACGTTTTAAGTACGTAAACAATTAGGCATTCCAATGACCTGTCAAAATGCTGCCCATGGGATATGATATGACCTTGTGATATTTATTGGTAATATATTGGAAATATCAGCTTGATGGTAGTTTGTACAGATTAATTACCTGTTTTTTTCAAATTAAACATTTTATTAAAATGCACAGTCACCGCAATCTAATTTATCTGAAGTGAGGATGTGCTGTAGTCGATATTCAATTTTCGTTGCCTACTATAACAGTGTTAAATGGGCAAATTTTACTCCATCCCATACAAATTACGATGCACATATACCCAAATGTAACAGAATAATTATTATCACGTAAACAATATTAACAGTGTAATCATTTTAAACCTATTTTTTTTATAAATATCGTTTATTACATTTGAACAAAAAATAGCAGAATTTATTATTTGTGAAATATAATTTTGTTTGATTTGTATTTTTCTTTAATTTGTCCTCGAAATAATATTTACAAAACAATACTTTGGATTCTGATTAAAAACTATTTTATATGCCCATGGAAAGCACAACTGTCAAACAGGGGCGTGCGGTCCATGGAAGCGGGGGAAGCACCGCTTCCCTACACTGTGAAATTTAAAAATAAATATTTTTAAGTTTACAATGCATAGAAATTAATATTAAATTAGGTACTATATTTTCTCTGAAACATTACGTAAACTTCGTAAATGTACTAACAATTCATTGGTGTGTAAACGCACGCACCACCCATGAGAAAATTAATTGTGTAAACGTACAAACAGTCTGTCAACGGAAGCGCCTCTTGAAATAACCTGTTCATCTTGCAAGTGATTTCGCTTGGTGTTATTGACCTTGCTTTGCAGCGACAGTTTCAGTCTGTTTGCATACGTGAAATACGATCGAGAGGCAGAGATTATTACGTCGCCTTACGCTTATTGCAATTCGCACCGCGAATCGACGTGTGAGGAAAATCTTAGATTTTAGGTAGATTTCGGTTAGTTTTTCGTAGTTGTTTTTCTTTTTGTAAAATGAAGGAACTATGTACTGTGCCTGTGAACAATAATAATGTGGTAAATTGTGTCTGTATAGTGTGCTCTTTATTAAAAAAGGATTTTCAAGTAGAAATTTAGAAGAGAAAACGGACATTATTAATTCTAATAGACTAAAGGATCCTATCAATTTAGAGACTAAAGTAAAAAAATCAGCAAAGAAATTTACCAGGCATTTTCACGTAGGGTTCTATGAAAAGTATGAATGGTTAACCGGCTGCAAAACTTTAAAGAAATTGTTTTGCTGGCCTTGCTTACTTTTTAATATAGTTGAAAAAACAAATTGGAACTCAGTCGGTATTACAGACTTGAATAATTTTCACAAAAGTGTAAAACGACATGTAAATAGCAAATCTCATATAAGTGCTACAATTAAAGAAAAAACATTCGGGACCTATCGCATTGAACATAATTTGGACAATCATTTAAAAATAAACAACAAAATTCACAATGAAAGGGTAAAAAAAATAGGGACGTCTTACAACGATTAATAGATGTAACTTATTTCCTGAGAGAGCATGAACTAAGTTTTAGGGGCCACAATGAAGCAAGTGGATCCGCCAATCGAGGAAATTACATGGACCTTCTAAGTTTTTTTAGCAAAATACGATAATACCCTAAAAAATCATTTTATTAATTCTACGACTTTCCGAGGTACTTCAAACAGAATCCAAAATGATTTAATTAAATGCACTGCCGACGTTGTGATATATCATATTAAAAGTGAAATTTAAAAAGCACCTTTCGTATCAATTGCGCTTGATGAAACCACAGATGTAGCAAACTTAAGTCAATTATCCATTGTTGTGCGATATGTATTGGATGGCATTCCTCAAGAGCGATTCTTAGGATTTTTGGACGTCACTAGAGAACGAACTGCAGATGCATTGTTTAAAATTGTTTGTGACATTATTTTAAGTTTAGAATGTGGTTCTAAGCTTGTTGCATAGAGCTACGATGGTGCTGCCGTAATGGCTGGCCATTTAGGAGCTCTTCAAGCTAAAGTGAAAGAAAAGTTTAAACATGCAATTTTCGTTCACTGTATAGCACATAGACTTAATTTGGTTTTATTGCGAAACATGAATAATATTAAAGATTGCAAAGTTTTCTTTTCGACGCTTGGTGGTTTGGCTTCCATCTTTTCAAAGTCATCGAAAATAACTCGCGCTTTGGACGTTCACGTTCAAAGAAGGTTTCCAAAAGTTGCTCCGACGCGATAGAACTACAATGGACGTTTAGTGCAAACAGTGTTTCAATACAGTGATTCTTTGATAAACTTTTTTCAAGACGTTTGGGATAATAAAGAAATATGGGATGCTGAAACTGTTACTCCTGCTAAAGGGTATTTGCATTGGCTCAAACAAAACTTTGATTTCAATCTCTGCTTAACATTTTTGCAAAGATTTTTCCTTTTACTGACATTTTATTCGACATTTTATAGACAAAGTCAAATGACATTGGCTTTTGCATTAAACAAATTGATTATTTTAAAAATAAAATGAATAAAAAACGAGCTCAGTTTGAACACTTTTGGAATAAGACTCAAAATATTGGCTTAGAACCTGAAAGAAAGAGAATTAGAATTAATAATGTCGGCGACAGAGAGACCTCCTATCGTCGATTATACGCCGAAATTTTTGATAATATTCTACAACAAATGAACTCTCGATTTCACAACTTTAACGAATTAAAATTTGTTGAATTGTGCAATTTTAATATTAGTAACTACGATTCATCAAAATTTCCATCGGAAGCTTTTAATTCACTAAAATTAAATTATAGAAATTTTTTCGATATTCCAGCATTAAAGTCCCAGTTAAGAGTTGTTTATGAAACAACTGAAATTAGTAATAAAAAGACGCCCATCCATGTGTTAAATTTTCTTATAACAACTGGTTTAAATAAGTCCCCTTTGTGAAGTCGTCAAGTTGTGTGAATTAGTACTAACCATCACACCACAAGTGCGTCAGTTGAGCGAAATTTTTCAGCTTTAAAGCACATTAAAAGTTTTATACGAAATTCAACAAGTGAAGACAGACTCTCTAATTTAGCCCTAATATCCATTGAAAAACAGCTTGTTAAACAGTTATCAGAAAATCCAAAATTTTACGACAATGTTATAGACAAATTTGCAGCTATTGAGGATAGGCGAATAGATCGTAAGTATAAATAAATGTCAACTGCTGTATCAACTGTGCGAAAAATGCTGGGGAAAATAAAACAAAATTTCAGTTAAATGTTTTTTCTACGTTTAAATAAACCAAGGAAGCTTTTCAATGGTAAGTTTTTTATAGCTTCTAGTACTTAACTAGGTAATAAAGTAATAGTAACACTTCAAAAATCTCAATCTCGAATATCTTTAGTACTGAGGAAAAAAGCAAGATTTTGACAAAATGGTGAATGCGCCGCGAAAAATTTCCGACTGCGGCGCTGTGCTTACTGGCCTGCTGTATTTTTATACAATCGCTTCCCCTTCCAAAAATGTCACCGCACGCCACTGCAGTGTCAAACGTTCGTATATATTGGCTTCAAACAAAGCCTATGCGCTGGTTCAGTGTGATATCATTTTGGTTCCACTGACATTCTAACCAAACTTTTAACAAAAACATCAATAAATTTGACATATAAGTTTTTACTGTTTTTATTTTATTTCAAAATATTGTTTACAGGACATAAAAAATAGTTTAAAGCTATGTAATAGATAACTAAACGATTGTTTATTTGATACATGCTATCTACTTACTTTAAGAATATATTTATAAAAGTGAAAAAAACGATATAATTTAGGTAAACAAAACAAACAAAACGCACTCAAAAAATCTACTATCACTTTAATTGTCAGTGGAACCATAATTACATCATCACTGAACCACGGCATAAAAAACAATCGGCAGGCCCACTCTCCGCTGATCGCATACAAATATTATACTAAGAAAATTTGACCTTAACGACGCCATTCGGGGGTCTTAGTCAAGGTCGGATTAAAGCGTATTTAAAGATTTTGTAATAAAATAAGATATTGATAGGCAGGATCGTATTAAAACAAAAAGCTTCACAGATTGCGCCAAATAATTAGCTTGTTTTTATTGATGGTCTTAAAATTTCTATTAATATTTTTAAAGTGAAATATATGAGCAGCCTTAAATATAACTTAAGACCAATTCCACCGTTGTGTTAAACGAAGTTTAAAATGACATTTTTACATTAACAATGTCATTTTTATCTCCGTTTAACACAACGGTGGAATCGACCCTTAATAACATATATTTATGGAAATCGGGGACAAGGAGCGTCAAATGTTATCTCGGAATTAATTAAATCTAAAAAAAAATTACAATCGCCGGATTTAGTGATAAATAATTCAAAATTATGATGAAACATTGTGATAAAAAATTATTTTGTGCATGCAATTCATTAATATGCTTGTTAATATTTACATTTTCGACAATATTGCCACGCGATTTTGGAAAATGGCTCATCCTTACTAGTCCTACGAATTTCATGTAGCCTTACAAGTAAAGCATCCCCACCTGTTTCGCAGTTTTCAGTTTCAGAATGTAATAAATTTAAACATTGCAATTTTTTTAACGTCCTTTGAATTTGGACCGATGTAGGGTTTACACAGTTACCATCATGGAGGAAGGATAATTAAGAGTTGCAGATTCCTCACAGAAATTTGGCAGCATGTTTACCTTCAGCGACATATGGAATAGTTTTGTGCAATTAA